CATGTATATAATGGCATGAGTGAATTTGTATATTCACTATAATCGCTTTTTTTTTCTTTTCTAACGACCAAAATATTATCACATTCCTTTATCCACTTAGTAGTTTTTTTCATTTTGTAAAGGAAAATCTATTATTTATTGTTGAGATGTCTCAAGATTTTGAAAATTTCAGTGACATCGAACGTAATAATGTCAGTCCGACAACTATTGTCGAAGTTGATAATCCAAACAATTCCCCTTTGCATACAGAAAATGAATTATCTGATTCTAACACCATTAACACCATTAATAACGAAATCAAAGATATCATTAAATTCGACAATAACATTTCCAAACATTTATCGATCTGGAGGAAGAGATTAATTCTCTTTATTGTCTCTATCGCAGCCATGATAGCCCCAATGGCTAATACGTAGGTTTAGATTTATTATTTTTCCCTTTTGATTCCCTCTTTTTTTAATCTAGTCGATTATCATTATCAGCATCCTATATCCAGCACTTGTACAGATATGTTCAGACTTTCAAGCCCCCGAAATCTTTGTAAATGTCTTAGGTAAGACCTTTATCAAATATGCAGTGGTTTAATTTGAGCTATTTAATCATAATTCGAATATTGTAAATATTGTGTAATAGCCTCTATATTTATATTTTTTATGGGGTTTGGTGTAAGTTTTTTCTTATGTATTAAAACTTAAACTTTTGGTTAAATCAATTTGTTAAAGTAATGGTTGTTTCTATTTGAAAATAGCAAATCGGTTGGGCCGCCTTCTCTGATACATTTGAAACTAGACGTAGAGTTTATTTAATATGCATGCCATTAGTTCTTATTTCATGCGTTATTTGTGCTGTTACTCCAAATATGTGGTTACTGATGGTTGGTCGTGGTATACAGGCATGTGGAGCGTCATCATTGGTTCCAATTGGAAGTGGCGTTATTGCTGACATGTATGAATTGACTGGTAATTAAAAAATTCTTTAAAAATAACATAAAGACTTTTTATTCTTTTTATTTGTATGTTTAATTTATTCTTTTAAAAAATTAGAACGTGGATCTGCTTATGGATATTTTTATTTTATATACTTCTTTTCTGTTGTACTTGGACCATTATTTGGTGGATATTTTACGGAATATTTTGGTCGTTAGAAAAGAAAAAAAAAGCGATTATAGTGAATATACAAATTCACTCATGCCATTATATACATG